ATAATATCCAATTTGTGGTTGGTGAAAATGAAGCATAGGTAAATGCTTCTAAATAGACAAGATCCAGATACATTAGATCATTAAGCTTGTTAGTGAAAAAACATATTCACATCATTCCGAAAGTAATAATTAGGAATCTGATAGTTTCAAGTATTTTAAATATTGGAAACTTATTAAAGAGGAAACCACTTAAGAGGAACTATTTCAGAAGGATTTCGATTATGAAAGGAAATCTAATAGTGAAGATGAATCCAATCATGAAGAGGAATCTGATGAAAATAATGATGATAATGAAGGTGAAAGTAACAAAAAAGAGAGAATTAGAAGAAGTAAAAGTGTAGTATCTTTCGAGTATTATAGTAATAATACAGATTATAATAATAGATAGAAATCGGTAGATTCCATAATAAATACTAAATAAATCGGTAAAATTTCAAATATATTTAAATTTATATAAATTGTATCAATCGGGATATTTCATATTAATAAAAATTCTTTTTATTATAATTAATCAGGATTACTTATTGATATAAAATATTATTACGAGTATTAAATAAATTTGATAAAATGTTACTAATCAGGATATTTTATATTAATAAAAATTCTTTTTATTATAATTAATCAGGATTACTTATTGGTATAAATATTATTATGAGTATTAAATAAATTTGATAAAATGTTACCAATCAGGATACGCTATTTGTATAATATTAAAAAAAATAAGAATATTCCTATTGATGACTTAGGAATAATCCGATTAGAAACTAGATGTTAATAAATTGATATCAATAAAAATAACCTTATTGATATCTTTATAACACCCTGATTATAACCTTATTGTATTCTATTTGCGTCATTATTCGTCATCAATCAGGATCACCTGATTCTAAAAACAAAAAAATAGGAAATCAATCACGTTAAATCTGGCAATCCAGATTTGACCGATTGGTTCCTATTTATCATTGATTGACTAGTATATTTTTAATAATAAGTGTTGCTTTTGACTATTAGAATAGCATTTTATTATTAAAAATTAATAAACTTTAATTATAAATCTGTCTTTAACTTTTAGAATAGATTTTTATTTCAAATTTGATAAATTAGATCTAAATTTAAATACGAATCTAATGGATCGAATTTGAATCTAAATTTGAATCTATCAGATTAAATCAAATTCAAATCCAAATCTGATTTAGATCTGATGAATTGAATCAAATTCAAATTCAGATCTAAATATAATTCGAATCTGATAAATCTGATTTGATCTGATCTGTTAGATCTAGATCAGATTCAGATCGAATCAGATATTTTGTGAAATACTAATATTGATAAAATTAATTTTTTTATTTGTTTATTTTGTTTATTGATTATAATATTTAATTAATATTTTGATCATTTGTTGATTCTAATTTAATTCAGTTATCTTTGATTAAAAGAAGGGTCAGAAAAATGTTTTCTAATTCTAAAACATGTTTTTCTAATGAAATTTCTTTTTTGCTTATAATCTCTATAATCAGTTATTCATAATAAATGATTTCTATTAGAAGGCTATTATTGATCCTATACTTTAGTTATTAATAACATTTATTTTATTAGCGAAGTAATTGTTGGTAATTTTATGAGTTATCTTTACATAAAAATTGTGCAATTTTCTATCTCTAGCAGTTCTTCTATATAAAATCTAAATTGATCACATTATTTATGGATTGAATTATAATACCCAAAATTATAACATTTATCTTAGTCAGAAGTAAGGTTACTGGATGAAATCCAGAGTTTGGATAGACGTTTAAATGGTAAAAGTAAAACTTGGTTAAAAAATCTGCGAAATTTAGAAAAAGGTAAAACTATATCAAAGCTTATAAAAATGGCAAAAACTATATCAAACTCTTAGTAAAAATTTAACGAAATTAAAGGTTTAGACATCCAAAATGAGTTTAGACAAGTAACCTTAGTCCGAAGTATATCATTAAAATCCTAATTCAAACTTTATTGATGTAGCATTAATCTTGAAGAATAATAAAATAAATCATATGAATTTCAAATTTTAAAGAAATAAAATTAAATACAGAAAACGATTCTTCCAATAGGTGATTTTCAGATTAATGATCTTATTAGAATTGTTTTTCGTTCATCTTAATGATCACTGTATTTTATAGTGTAACCTTGTGTAATCCTCTTTGAGCAATTTTGAACATAACAGAACGTGCAAGGCATTTTACAAAAATTTATAATTTAGTAAATTTTTTTTTTTTTTTTATATATGAAATCTTAAATTTTTTATCTGTTTTTATTAAAAGAATCAGCAAAGTTTTTTCCATATATGAAATTGCAAGAAAAAAAAGGTTAATCACTTTAAGATATTTTTTTTGTGGGTTTATAAAATTCGGGTCTTTCTTTCATCTTTTTTTTTTCTACAGGCTTATATAAAACAAGTTAAACCTTTACGAAAATTTCGGGTCTTTTTTTTTTCAGCGTCTCTCTTTTTCCTTCGATAGCTTACTCTAATAGAATAAATACTCTACATTGAATTTGAGTATATTAATAACACCGAATCGATTCTAACTCTAAAGTCTTTAGAACCAGTACTTAAATCAGAGATATAATTTGATGAGAAAATCCCACTAAAATTTTTTCCGATGAGTAATAATCGAAAAACCCTACCTACTCTAAAACATCGTCGAAAAAATTTTTTTTTGTAATAAAAAGTAGCCGCAGTATCTTTTAATTTTTTTTTAAAAAAAAAACAAATCGCTTCTCCGCTCATTTTAACTCATTTTTCGGGAAAAAAAAAATTTCACACCCTCCGAAGCTTCTCTAAATATCTTTTTAAATAATTCGCTTCCCCGAAGTTTCTTTTATCATATATATATATTTTAAAAATATATCTTGCACCTCTGAAGCTTCTAATAAATCATTTAGTTAATCCGTTTAAAAGATAAATAAATTCAAAAAAGAAATCGTTTTCCTCACAATAATTTTTTAAAAAATTTGATCTTTGAAGGAAGAAGTAAGAAATTTTGATTCTGTACTCTTTAAAAAAGGGGATCTTTAATTATGATGGCCGACTTCTCAAGTCAAATGCTCTTGTAAATGCAAAGTTCAAGCAATTCACGCATTGCGCTACTCGAGTTTCCATCACCATTGCTTCGAGTAACTTACCTACCTTCAAAACCATTTTGGTACAATAAACCCTATCTAAATCACCTCCTAGTACAAAAATGCATCCAAAAATATTGCACGATGATCGTCTTCTTGGACCTGTATGGCAGTTTGATTTCTATCATGCCAATTTTATCTGAAGAAACTTATGCTTTTGTAGATGCTGGGGCATGATACGGATTAAACGGTTGCTTAAACTTTTATGTAATAATAAGAAAAATTGGGCTATTGAATTGTTACGAGATGAACAAAAGTTTGGTTTATATATATCCACATTCTCAAACGCGGACGTTTATTGATATTCGTAATCATAGAATGGAAGCTCCAGAAACAAGAAGAAACTATTTTGTAAGGAAGAATGATATCTCAAAACTTTTAAGATAACAATGGAAATTGTGCAGTTAATAAAAATCTTGAGATATTCACCATAAACATTCGAAATCAACAAGCAATTGGTTATAATGATTAATCCTAAATCAAACCTTAAGAGGTTGATTTTTTCTCTTTATTTTTAATTTACATCCACTTTTTAAAAAAAAAAAAGAAAAGCTAACTGAAAAATATACACAATTTTTTTTTTTCACGCTGACACAAAAAATCTATATTATAATAATACAAAATAAATAAATAAAAATTTTTAACTAAATATTTAGTTATTACAGTTCAATGAAGAATCAAGACTAAGCCCTTTACGCTCTACAAGTTGTATGGGGGAGGACGAGATTTTTCGGATTTACCAAGTGCTCTCCGAGATCTTAAAGAAACGCCACCAAAAGTTCCACATAACATATAAATAATTCCAATAATGAATACAAACCATCCGGGTACCACAATGAAAAGGAATAAACTTTGACCCAAAAATGATTGACTTCCTATTCCACTATCATATCCAAGGATTAGTGAACCCATGGCAGTTTGTAAAAAACCAAAGAAAGTCCAAGTTTGAGAATCATCCAACATTGGAAACCAATGGAAAATCCGACGTGGCCATCCGAGTTCGGTGAATATTAAAATCAATGCTTCGACAGCAATAAAACATCGATTGAAAAACTGGAATATTGTATTACTTTTGCCCAAGCCAGGGAATCCTTTCACGTTCACTATAATACATGTTGTAATAACTAGCATTAATGAAATGATCGAAAGCACGCGCAGCGTGTTTAACAAAATCCATGTGGCATTAATTGGCATTTCTTTTTATTTTATTTTATTTAAAAGTGGGGGAAAAAGGAAGAGTATTGATTAAGAGAATGTTATTATTGTCTAAGAGAAAAAATCCACCAGGGATTATTATTTGAAATAGGATTATTTTTTTTTTGACTTTACAAGTGAGGAATCGACTTTTCGTGAATTAACATTCAATTTATAGAAAATTTACTGGGATTTGCTAAACAATCTGGAATTGGAGAACAATATTAAATGTCCGTTACGTTAATTAAATATTACCTCTTATAGGCATTAACTTTATTTATGAAGTTTTAACGATCTTAATAATTGTGAAACATCGTGCTATGTTACCATGTGTTTATTCCGACCTTGTCTTCTATACATAGCCTGAAAAAGAATTTATGCTATGCAAGACAACGAATCTTTATTTTTTCCTTTATTTATAAAAAAGGGGCTGGATTAAAAAAAAAAAAAACAAAGGGTCTTTAAAATCTGAAACACCCCATAAAAATTATGAAACCGAAAGTTTAAAAATAGACAGGTTTCAAACCACCATAGACTTTTCCGAACCCAAAAAAGAAATTATCGAGATTTTTTACAAAAATTCAATCTCTTTTTTTTTTTTTTAAATATTAATTTTTTTTTTAAAAAAAAAGATCAATTATTTCATTATGGGAAAACGAAATAGAGCAACGATGTTACCAATTAATTTACCACAATTACAAAATCTTATAAAAAGGGATCCTATATCTTACAAACAAGATTTTTTGCAACAATATCGACATTTTGAATCACAGTTGGACATTTTTAAATTGAAACCCGACGAAGAAGCTGAAGAATTCGGAAGGTTGATAACTTTCATTTCACAGGTAATATAATACATGCTTGAATGATTCAGTAAAGATCAATACTAAATTATTCATACACATATAGGTAGCACAATGCTATTCACAAGAAACCAGCTCGTTTCCAAACCAATTAATAAATTTGCTTTCAGAATGTTATCAAATTTTAAATCCTAATGTACGTAGAACTATGGTACAAGCATTGGTTTTGTTACGTAATAAAGATATTATACCGAGTATCACGTAATTATCAAATAACGTATTTGTGTTGAAAAATTGTTGATTTGTATATTTAAGATATTCCCATCAATTAAAACTTGAATTAATTTTCTCATTACAGACTATTATCCTTATTCTTTACATTATTCCGAGCTAGAGACAAGCAATTAAGAGAATTGTTATATTCGTATATAGTAACGGATATAAAAAATCAAAATTCTAAGCATAAAAATAATAAACTTAATAAAACCTTACAAAGTTTTATGTATACAATCTTACAAGGACGACAGCAGCAACAACAAGAACAAAATAATGTTAAAATAGGGGGAGAAAGAATTGATTCTAAAATGGGTGAAGATTCAATTTCTGCAAAAAAAAGTCTGGATGTTTGTATTGAATTATATAGAAAAGGAATTTGGTGAGTGAGAAGGTTTTAAAGAATTATCTTGTAAGAAAAAAAAAAAAAAAAGAGGATTTAGTTGCTTAAAACCTTTTTTTCATTAGGAATGATGCAAAAACAGTTAATGTAATAGCTGAGGCTTGTTTTCATCAAATATCAAAAATTAAAGTTACTGCAATCAAATTTTTTTTGGGTTCAAATCAAGATCAAGATGATAGTAGTGAAGATGAGAAGGAAATACCAAATATAAAAAGATTACAACACATTAATCAGATTAATAAAGCAAAAAAATCTAAAAAAAGAAAATTAGATAAAGCCTTGTCAACGGTTCGTAAAAAAGAAATACAAAAACATAGAGCAGAAAATTTTAATTTTTCTGCTTTACATCTGTTAAATGATCCTCAAGGTAATGAAAAGATAAATTTTAATATAATTATTAATATATATTTCAAATAATAATATATATGTATTTATATGTTTAGGATTTTCCGAAAAGTTATTTTCTACTTTAACAAGCTCACAGTATAATGATCGTTTTGAAGTTAAAATAATAACTTTAAATTTAATTTCTCGTATAATTGGTATTCATAAATTAGTCCTGTTAAATTTTTATAGCTATTTACAAAGATACTTGCAACCACATCAACGTGATGTTACATTAGTATTGGTAATATTGGCTCAAGCTTGTCACGAACTTGTTCCCCCTGACGTATTAGAACCTGTCGTAAGAGTTATTGCTAATAATTTTGTTAGCGATCATTGCGCTGGGGAAGTTATGGCCGCTGGGTAATTATACTATTTTAATTATTTTATTTTATTTTATTTTATTTTTAAAAGAAGTATAAATTATATAATTATACACATCTTTTTTATACAGGTTAAACGCTATAAGAGAGATTTGTTCAAGGCAACCATTAGCTATAGATCTTACTCTTTTACAAGATTTAACAGAATATCGCTCAGATAAGAATAAAGGTGTTATGATCGCTGCTAGATCTTTAATTGGATTATTTCGGGAAATTAATCCGGAATTATTGAAACGAAAAGATAGGGTAAAAAAGGAAATAATATTGAAATTTCTTTTATTTTCTCAAATATTTTGTTTTAATATTTATTCTCTTTGTAGGGTAAAGCAGCAAGTATAAATTTAAAAGATTTTAAACCATTACAATATGGTCAAGTTCGTACCATGGAACAAATTGATGGAATTGAATTATTGGAAGAATATAAACAAAAGCTTGTTCGTTCTGAAAATGAAGACGGTAAGACACGATAATCGTTTTATTTGAAACTTTTATATCAATTAAGGTTATTTATACATTTATTTTTCTAGAATGGTCAAGATGGGAAATCGCTTCAGATAAAGATAATTCAAGTGATGATGAAGGGTGGATTAATGTATCTTCTGATGATAATCAAGATATTAATGTTAGTGATAGTAGTGATGAAGAAGATAGTAAAATTAATGAGAATGAGAATGAAAACAATGATAAAGCAAAGAAAATCTCAACTTTAGCGATGACTCAGGTAATGAATCCTTATGTTTCTTCTCATTAAAACTGCTTCTATATAAGGATTTTATTTTCACCAAAAAAAAACTTTTTCCTTTTAGCTTTTAAGTCCAGCGGATTTTGCAAAGTTGAATGAACTTAAATTAGAACATAAATCTGAACAATTAGTAAATGGAGTGAAACGAAATAGGAGTTCTACGTATGTTATTTATCGGTATTACTTATCTCGTTGAAATATTAAACGAATTATCATATATTTAGACAAGATGAGCCTTCTGACATTGTCGATGTGAATGCAATCACTGGCCCACGCAAAAAAGCTAAACAGGATTACGAAGAACGTTTAGAATCAATTAGAGCTGGACGTGAGGGACGTGAAAAGTATGGAAGTTCAAAAGGCAAAAAGTTTGAAGGTGCTAGCACCACTAACAAAGAAAAAGCTAGAAACAAAGCTTTTATGATGGTCATACATAAGAAGAATGCATTGCAGAAAAAGAAGATGAGTTTAAGGGACAAACAGGTATATATAATTATAATGCGATTCTTTAATAATAATTATTTTGCATGCTGAAATATATGAATATTTGTAGATCCAATTAACAAGACAAAGCAGTAATAAGAAAAGATCAAAGAAATAATAATCTATCAAATGTTATTTTTAAAATAATTCATAAAAGGTAATTATGTTATGATTATAATAATTATTGTTTTTGTATAGAAACTTCTTCAACGAATATTTTATGAAGGATCGACAAAGCATCCTTATGACTATATACAATTAATTATGGAATTATTCAGTTAGAAATTTAAAATGAAATGTAAAATTTAATTTAAAAAAGATTAATAAAATTACGCTTTAACAGAATCTTGTAATGCCTGATCTTGTGATATGGAAATATATTTCAAAGCATATGATTCTTCTTTTTCACGTTCTTTATCAAGCTTTTCGATTTCACTTTCTCTGCATTCACAATCATATTTTAGTCCGGTAATTTCTAATCTTGTTTCCTGACATTGTGTATTTAATCTTTGCAAATGAAGGGTCTAGAAGAAATAAATATAGATATCAAATAAAGTATGTGAACAAAGTACCATAATATGTTTTATAACTTACACCAATCTCTAAGATGTCATTAGCTTCTTCTGAGGTTGTAAACGACTTTCTTTTGGTAAACGTCTTTTTCGGAATATAAAAAAAAAAGGTAATTGAAATTAACTAGATATAAGATTGTATATCAAAATGTAAAAATGATGAGAATTACCCTTTCAAATGAATTATCTTCGTTTTTAATATTACTGAGCATATTTGAAAATTTGACTATGTTAACAATGCTGCGAAATGAATAAATAGGTTCATGGTGTGTAACGCGTCTTACGTCATGCATATATTTTATAAATGTAATTGAAATTAATGATAGAGATGTTAACGGTTCGATCCGTAGGGATGGGGCGGTTCAGTTCAGTTTGGTTTCAGTTCTGTAAAACCGGTTTTAACAGCAGAACTGAACCGAACTGGGTTTTTAAAACCAGTTCCAAATAACCGATCTAAACTGGTTTTAACTGAACCGATCCAAATAATCAAACCAACTGGTTCAGTTAGAACCGGTTCTAGAAAATTAAAATACTATAGTACTAAATTATCACAAACTTTTATCTGCAATTGAATTTATTATACTATGTTTAATATATTAAGTATATCACAATAATATTTTTATACTTGATTTAAAACATTGAATTAATTTTTAACAAAAAATATAAAATTTCTACAAATTTGTAAATCAATTTATAAAACCTTCATATTATAACTAATAATAAGAATTTAATCCATTATAATCAATATTCAAGTGATAAAATTTATATTATTATTCTCCCAACTTATTAGTAATCCAACTTTTCATACATAAACATGCTCTTGTCATTTCTGGTAACAACCGATTCCTGGTTTTACTAATAGTATTACCCGCAACTGAAAATGCCTGTTCTGACGCAACACTAGTGGCTTAAATCGTAAGATAATCTCATGCCATATTACTTATGATTGGATATTCTTTAGCATATGCTTGCCACCATAAAAGATGATCAGTTTCCTCATCAATTTGTAATGTAAGGTAACGGTCTAATTCCATTATTGCTGAAGAATATAATGGAGAAAGGAGTTCATCAGCATCTTGTCATCGAAGTTGTATAAAATATTGGTGAAAAGCATTAATGGATGTTAATGAATATGTGGATGATGATGATGATGTATTAGGAGAGTGTTCTTGATATATTTTAAAGATAGCCTGAATGTGCATTTGAGCATTTTCTAATGATTCGCCTAAAATAAAAAAAATTAGTTAAATTTTATAGTTAACTAAAATATTGATAAATTTAAATTTAAACCTGAAAAGATCAAAAGTTTTGTTCAAGGATCTAAAACTGCAGAAGCAATTGATGGTTGGTCCATAATGTCGTAATATTCATTACTTTTTTGATGTATAGAAAATGCCATTTCACATTGTATAAAATTTTCATTATCTATATATTTTTGTAAGTGCATTTGAATGCTTTCAAAAATAATTCGAAAATTGCCCATAGTTGGATAGGATGATGCCGAAAGATGTTTGGTGGCTCTTTCTATAGATTTGAGAAGTATATGAGTATCCTATTATATTTATTAAAATAATTAACAAGTAATCAAATAAATAATAACATTAACCAAATTTTTTTTTATTAGTTACCTTAATAACGATCCAGTCTTCATCGTTAGGATAAAGATCATTAATAGATTAATGATCAGCTAAAATTAAAAATAAAGCCAGCTCAAGCTGCTCCAAATACTTCAACATATAATATGTTGAATTCCAATGGGTCTTTACATCCAAAGGGGTTTAAGGCATTTAATTTTCTTTACATCACATAAGAGGTGAAGCTCGTCACAAAGGCGAGTTGAATTTTTAATTTTAATCATAAACTCACGTGTCTTATGAACTGAATTATCTATTAATTCTAATCCTTGTTTTACACTTAGGTTCAAGACATGCGTGGCATAACGATAATGAGAAAAAGTCATTGAGGAAAACTCAGAATTAAAGGCCATCATAATTTTTTTCCACAAACTAATATCGTGAATTTGTTATCTGTTGTAAGCGCAATGACTTTATCGAAAATGTTAAATTCATTCAGAATACGCATTATTTCTTGTGCGATGTTCATTCTGGAATGGCTAATTGAAAAAGGAATGATGTCAAGAAGGAAATTTCTAAGATGCCACTCAGAATCTACATAATGAATAGTGAGACCCAAAAAGGCCTCCTGACTCATAGTAGAAGTCCACATATCTGCCGTCAATGAACACTATCCCATCATTTGCCGAAGCTCATTAGTAATTTTAGATCGTCTGTTGATAAATGCATTAACTATTAAATCTGATTTAAAAATTTAAAAATTTAAACTTTATTAAAAATAAAATTAAAACAATACATGCTTAAAATATACATATTCACCACCTAATTTGTCTGAAGCGTAGCTGAGAATATTTACGGTTAAACTCTATGTGATGCAAGTTGTGTCTGTTCATCTATCCGCATGCGTGATCGACCAATAAGATGTTTTGTTGTTCTGTCACGTTTTCCGTTCTAATTTTGCTTATCATAAAAGTAAATTCTACTGATGCTATCTGGATTTAAATTGTGTTTATTTTCGAAATCCATAAAAGTAAATTTGATTTTGCAGTGATATATGTACCTGATTGTATTTATTGTGAGTTAACGCTTCGGACACTCCAACGTTGCCTGTTACCTAATTCTAAAAAAATGATTTCTAAAAGGTATACTATTTATACTAATTAAACAGTATTCTATATCTTTTGCCTGATGTCATTCTGGAATAACATATTGCGAACAGAAATAATTAAGAATTCCCTAAAATAAGAGTTGTCAACAGCTGAAAAGGGTTGAAGATCACAAATCAGCTATTCAATAAGGTAATTGTCATGTTCTTCTTATTTCTGTTTGTTAAAAAAATCTGTTCTTTTGATAACTAAGATTCTCTGCTTTTTTATAGGTACATTTAACTTGTGTTTTGTAAAGGTTTTCATAAAGTTGAAATACCTGTTGACGCTTTATATTTTGTAGAGCACTTCCTACAAACATTATATCCTGGTGTATTTGATAGATTTCTGTTAAAATGCTCGCATACAGAACATTTTCCAATGGTAGAGTTACGAAAGGATTCACTAACAGACTTGTCTTCAAGGTCGGTCATTTCTAGGTCATCATTATTGGATTCAATCATATTATCCATGATGAAAAAAATTTTTTTTTAATTAGAAAACACTAGGTATCCCTAGCACAAAAACTAGTGAAAGATCAAATCTTATTTTTGATGGTTTATTAATGATTTCGAAAAAAAATTTCTGAGTGAAAAAAAAACTTTTTTATTCGTAGACTGATTATCTATTTGATAATAGAAGTACAAAATTTTCTGAGATAATCAGAACCAGTTTATCAAAATGGAACCGGTTTGTCAAATGAAAACTCAATTTAGAACTGATTTTCTGAAAGTTCTGAAAATCAGAACCAGAACTAAAAGAACTGAGGTTCCTAACCGAGTTCAAACTGGTTAATTAATAAATCGCCTCATCTCTATCAATCTGGTTCAGTTTCATGTTTTCCAATGGGTAATAAAACTTTATAATACTATTTATTCCAAATTATTTTTAGTATTGTTTTTTCTTTTTTCTGTAACCCAATTTCAAATTACGTAAACAGATGAATATTTGCAAAATCATTAAAAATACTGAATTTTAAGTATTATATTTCCGGTCAAAATTAAAAAAATACTTATTTTAGTTAAACGCTTAAAATTGCGTGGATAATCATTTGATAATCTATTGTTAACATCTCTAGCCATGCTATTTTGACACGTTTTTTTTACTTTTTAACGTAATAAATACAAATTTTACTTCCCTAGAATCGTTAAAAATTTTTTTTTCTTTAGCATGAAGATTACTACTATAATGACAAGTATCTTTAAAAAGTGCAGGTTTGATTACTTTATTCAAACTTCGGTTAGCGATTGGGATCTATTAGATTATCATATGTTTTTGGAAAAACACTTTATTAGCTGGACTAGATAAAGCAACGATAACAAGAGCTTTTAATTAACAAGTCGAATGGTTAATAGCAAATGGCGACAAAGACAAATAGGAGAAAGCGGAATATCTAAAAAAACATTTTCAAGTAAGAATATATTGGTTGTAGGAACCTGTGGGACTACGTTTCCTACACAGCACTCCTGCTACAATCCCATGGTCATATTCGCAATTATATATCAATTATTAACTACTTTCCTAGTTTGATTCACACTAAATTTTGTTTTTTGATTCAGAAATACCCTCCCAACAGTAAACTTTTTAAAAATCGCTCTTTTGGATGGTTAAGTATATCTTTTCTGAGAAGAAGAAATGCATACCACAAAACTTGATAAAATTGAAAAGAACGTTTCTATCAAGATCCAAAGGTTTCAAGTGGAATAGAATAAAATAGTATGGGATTTATGATGTATAATCATTTATTTCTTTAAAATTATGTTAATATAATAAATACTTTTGATTTTCTGGAAGCGTTAATTTAGCTGTTTCTAATCCTTGTGTTTCATTTTATGAATGATACCTAAATAATATTAAAAAAAATTATATCAATCAAATAATAAAAAATATATACTTACACATTTAATCCTGCTAAAAATCGATGTAATGTTATATTTATAATAGCTTGAGAGTTTAATCCTTCATCATTTAATTTTTGTGCAGTCTGTTTTCATAAAGAATAATTAATAACTTGCTATTTGTACAATTAATGCCTTTAATATTACAGATTTCTTTTAACATTCCAAATAATTTATCTTAACCAAATGTTGTGTAGAACACCAATTTCCATTTTTAATATCTATGATATATTATTAAATTAATAAAATAAAATAATAAATAATATAATTACTAAAGATGGTACAGCAATTGATTTCAAATTTACAAAATGTTGCAACATAAGCTAAAATTAGTTGCAACATATGTTGCAACATTATAAGTTGCAACATATATAGGTTAAAACTAATTGCAACGTAAGTTGCAACATATTAATTACAGTTCCCATCTTTAATAATTACAATTAATTTATCAATAAAATCTTACCTTTAATATCTTTATTAACATAAAGAAAAAAAATTGTTTTCGGCATTTTTTGAAAAAAAAAAGGTTTTTTCTATATTTAAAATCTGTATCACATTGTAGATCCATTATATCATGAAATTCGTTATATCAAAA